ATACAGTACATACATCTCAAAAATGTTACATTTTACGTTTATGCATTTAGCAGATGCTGTTATCCAAAGCAACTTACAATAGAGGAACATAAGCATTTCAACAAGCAAAGAGTCAACAATATTCTCAAAGTAAACAATGTTTGGTTTATTAGAAAGTTAGGAAACAAGCTAGAAAATGTGAATAAAAAAAGTGTTGCAAAAATAATTATAATAATTCATATTTTATTATAAATATTTGTTTCAAATAAATAATAATTGTATATTATAATATATATATATAATAAAATATAATTGTGTATATATATATATATATATATATATATATATATATATATAATAGAATGTTTTTTTTTTTTATGTTGGACGATTTTGGACCAAACATCTTCATTCTTGAGACCTGTGTAGACAACATGTTTTAAAGGACTTTAGTTTCAGGCAAGGAAGTTTTCTGGGATGCTGTGATGTTATAGATGATGACATTGGAGCAGGATGTGTGTATTTGAGCTGTGTCCGCTCTCGCTCAAGGATGAGGCCAGTACTCTGCAGTTGCTGAAGAAACAGCTGGCACTACAGCAGACCATAGAGGACTATGCCGAGACCATCGGAATGCTTTCACAGCAGTGCAGACAGCTGCTGGAGCTCGGACATCCAGACTGGTAAATGTGCAGCAGTACTTACTGACCCAATCAAACATACAATCACACAACAATCTTTTGGCCTATCTAGTTTCACCTCTGAGCAATCACAGATGACATTCTTTGTATTCCAGTGATAACACCTTTCAAGAGTAACAGATTTCACTGATTTTTGTTTCCTTTGAATGAAATCTAAGTATGTGTGTGTATGCTTGTGCCTCAGTGAGCAGATCAGTAAGCATCAGTCTCAGATCGACAGGCTGTACGTGTCTCTGAAGGACCTGGCGGAAGAGAGGAAGTCCCGTCTGGAGCAGCAGTACTGGCTCTATCAGCTCAACAGGGAGGTGGATGAACTTGAGCAGTGGATAGCAGAGAGGGAGGTCATCGCCAGCTCCACTGAGCTCGGACAGGACTTCGAGCATGTCACGGTCAGTTGCTTCAGCTATTTCATATTTATCTGCCCCTAAACATGATTAACTGTAGCTCTCGTAGTTCTTCAGTTTCATAACATTTCTGCCCTGTCATGGTGGCACTTTTCCTGAACCTCAGATTCTGCAGGAGAAATTCACAGAGTTTGCATCGGAGACTGGGAGCCTGGGGCAGGAGAGGGTCACAGCTGTCAACCAGATGGTTGATGAGCTCATAGATTATGGGCATGGGGATGCAGCCACAATCGCTGAATGGAAGGATGGAGTGAACGAGGCCTGGGCGGATCTGCTGGAGCTGATGGAGACACGGGGACAGATGCTCGCTGCTTCACACCAGTTACACAAGTTCTTCTCTGACTGCCGAGAGGTGTGGAGAAGGAAATGCAGGACATCTAATTAAATCATCTAAACTGAGTGGTGTTTGCTAATACCATCATTATTATGACTAGTTATCACTTTCACTATTGCTCATGGGAATTTCTTGAAATGATTGTTTATTATTTATCTGTTTTATGGACATGCATCCATCCAAGCAACAATATAGCAATGCATTAACTCTTTCCCTGCCAGCGTTTTTTT